TGATACTGGGAATGTAGAATTTCCTTCATGCCTACAAAGACTTTCTCTACTAGACCAAGTTTATGGGCCATTCATCTTCCCGTAAACCAACAAACAATAGTCAAGAGGCTAATGACCTGCCACTACAGCTGAGACCACTGACCCTCCACACATACAGTACAACAACACCCACCACACAAGATAACTCTATCAAGGTATTTTTCACATAACACAAGATAATATACATTATACCATTAAATACCAAGTGAAAATAACTTAACCCAATTACTATTAAAGGTTAAGTCATAAATAAAGGTTCCCGCTGTTAATAATTTACCGACTCATCAAATTATATATATTATATCAATTAACTCAGTCATCCTGTTTCGCCACTATACATTTTTTGTTTAAGTTACGGTCAAGACGCCGGGATGATCCTTCGAGAGGTGTATAAACACAGGGTACACAGCAGATAGCTCTCCCCCGTGTTAAGCCCAACTGGTGGGAACAGAAGCGGCCGTCTCCTCCATCACAGTACCTGTCTGTCTGTCTCCCAGGTGCCGCGACTACTCCTGCGTCATGATCCTCACCACGCTCACCTCCCCACCAGGATGTTTACCAGGAACTTGACAAACCTCCACAAGTGAAGACACCGGCAGATACATGGAAAGACATACAGACTGACAGAAATGGACAAGACTGAATCTGCTCCTACCAGTACTAAACTGTCAACCTTAACCACAACGAACGCCTAAAACAACACAATCGAATACAATAACAATCCTGACACTCAGAGATGCGGTACCTGCTGGTCTCCGCCGGCCAACTACGAAGATCCTATCGACATTATCTGATCTGTGTGTGACCTGTGGCTTTGTGTCTCGTTCAGATAATGGAGAACTTTCAGGTGACCCTCACAGCGAGAGAAGATAGAGAGGGGGGGGAGAGAGGGGGGGGGGAGAGAGAGGGTTGATGGCTTATAAGAACCACACAGACGACACATGAAAGAACAATGCTGAGCTGAAACCAGTTTATAAGAGTCGACATCAACCAGCAATCGTTATGAAAGAGTGATACCTGTCCATCTTGTTCATACACCTTGCTATACATAAGGCCGTCGTGTTGGCCCAAGGTGACTACATGACAATGTGACAACTTAAACTCGTGTGGTGGTAGCGGAGGTTGGTAGGGTGGTGGTAGAGCGGGGAGTGGCAGGGTGGTAGGAGAGGGCAGGCCAGGCCAGGGTGGGGTAGCCTGATCAAAGACACCGATGGTCGAGTCTGGAAGCTGCAATACAAGGCTTCCGCGCGTCTCCCCCCCCCCCACACACACACCCTTCCCCTCCATTGTCACACTCACGCACTCTGTAACATCTATTACTCAGGGTCTTTAATTTTTCAGGACAATTTTAAATACAAAGTACCGAACTTCTTTCTATTGACGTAAACTTGTATTTGAAAGATGTAATTACCTCAAAAATAAAATATTAGTGGGAAAGTTTTTTTACGGATCTCACCTTGAAGAGGAATTTACTTAGGAAGAGAAAGTGTAAAAACCTAAAGAAATTGAATTACATGTGAATGCTTACGGCTTATCGCACTGTGTGACGGGGCCATGTGACGGGGCCGTATGAAAGGGACCTTGTGACGGGGACCTTGTGACGGCTGAACTATTTGCCCTTTATAGGCGTTAGCGACGGTCATGTCCACCACTACCTCCGCTATCACCACCATCACTATCACCACCATCACTATCACCACCATCATCATTATCACCATCACCATCATTATCACCATCACCATCATTATCACCATCACTATCACCACCATCACTATCACCACCATCATCACCATCATCATCATTATGACCATCACATCACCACCATCATCATTATCACCATCATCATCATTATCATCATTATCACCACCATCATCATTATCACCATCATCATCATTATCACCATCATCATCATTATCACCACCATCATCATTATGACCACCATCATTATCACCATCATCATCATTATGACCATCATCACTATCACCACCACCATCATTATCACCATCATCATCATTATCACCACCATCACTATCACCACCATAATCATTATCACCATCATCATCATTATCACCACCATCATCATTATCACCACCATCATCATTATCACCATCATCATCATTATCACCATCACCATCATTATCACCACCATCATCATCATCACCACTACCACCACCATTACTACCACTATCACTAACTGCTCTGTGCGCTGGCTTGCTGCTGTGAGCTCTATGCTGCATGACAGTAAGGACCAGTTTTCGTGGTACTGTATTTATAGTCAGACAGAGAGGGAGGAAGAGACGCTGGGGAGAGGAGGAAAGGGTGGGGAGAGGAGGAAGAGAGGGAAGGGTAGGAGGAAAAGAGTGAGGAAAGGGAGGAAGAAGGGGTGGGAAGAAGAAAGGGGAAGGAGCGAGAGAAGGAAGGAAAGGAGGAACGAAAGGATAGGAAGAAGGAAAGAGGAAGTTTGAATGTAAAGGATGAATCCGGAAGTGTTGGCAGGGAGCAGTGTGTCAAGGTGAAGTGCTCCGGAACTTCCAGTGCTTCACACACGCACACACATACACACGAGAGCGCCTGTGTTCATGTGTACAAGCACTTGAATCTAAACATTTTGACACGCACACGTACATACATACACAAAAATTTTCAAATAAGAACAACTACTGAAATAACACGAACTATAGGATAAGTTAGGTAAGGTTAGGTTAGGTTACTCATGTACGCCGCTAACACTATGTATACCTGTGTCCTGAAGGTGTACAGTTAACACCACAACTGTACACACGTGTTGCCAGAGTCACTAAGACAACAAGACAAGACGTGACGTTGCAACAATGTATTCTGACGCCTTGTGAGCATTTACCTGTGAGTAGGACACATACCTATGTATCCTTGGGCTCATGGTTAGGGTGTACCGTCTGTGTGTTCGTGTGTGTACCGTTTGTGTGTACCATTTGTAACTTATTGTGTACCATATGTAACTTACTGTGTACCATCTGTGTGTTAGTATGTTTTCCCAGCACTGTTCATAATTTGTTTTAGGTGACTATGTTAGTAAGTTAGCTGCAACATATCCTCTCGTCCCTGGCGCGCGTGTGTGTGTTCCTTGCATGGTGGTGACTAAAGTGCTACTCAGCCTTGAATAATCCCTGGCCTTCCACCACTCAACCTTGTATTTCCCTCTATTTAGCTCCTCCCTGAAGTGGACAATAGGCCAGTTTTAGCACAGCACATGAGTCAGGTGTTATGTAGAAATATTCAAGAAACAGCAATTACTCCCTTAGTCCACGTATGTATACTTAACAAGATGCCCTTCACATACATCTACAAATAATCAGCAACAGTTCACAAAAAAATGCAAAGGTTTAATAAAAAAAAAGGATATACCAAGACAACACAGACACCCACGCGATCACGAGCGAGTCAAAGCTGCTTCCATGTGCATCAAAACAGTTCAGTACGTCGATTAAAAACATCAGTATTGACCCCCCCAAAAAAAACAGTGAGATAGCCGACTAATGCGATGCGCCAATATTATTTACCTCGAAAGGTTGTAACAATTCTATCCTCAACATAAATAAAATATACCGGGTTTATAAATGAATCAATCTGCTAATGGCGTCACCCCCTCATAATTTCAGGACAACGCATGATGGTATGAGTCCGCTTTATACATGACAAATATGAATGTGTACAAAATGCCGGAAGTTCACAACTAATATAGACCACTGATGGCTTCATGTGACTCCTCCTGCCACGGCTGACCATAGCCTCTTGAAATATTTATCGATTCAAACTTTAAAATGGAATAAATGATTGTCCCAGGGCGTTTACAAAGGCGGGAGACCGGTAGTTACTGTTCGGTGGTAAACCTGGTCGTTTAGGCAGTAAAAGTTTAACTACAGTGCCGACCAACCACACAACCACACTATAAAACGTATACTTTCTTTTAAATTAACTTATAATTCGTTTACGGGAGAAAATAATATATACTCACTATTTTACGGTATAAACTTCCAACGGCTTTAAACGTCATACGGCCGAACATGATCACTGTCAAAATTTGCCCCGAACTGTCAATATTATTCATCAAAAGACATAAGTGAATACTGTATACTGCCTCACTCATCGCATTCCCTTATTATAATTATTCCAGAAGAAATCAATTAAAATACTGAAGGTTTATATAATGTTATCTCAACTTATCTGTGTATGTGAACATGTAAATTAGCATAACAAGTGGTAGTGTAAATAATGATAACGGCGCCAAGCAGTCACTCACGCGCGCCAAATTTAAAACCCACTTGGGCACTCAACTACGTAAGCTTCCTGGTACATAATGTTTCTGTAATTTTAGACAGAATGGAAGAATATTTTTTAACGTTAAATCGGTGTAGCTAGTTTATGGTATTGGACATTGACAAGGTTTTTTAAATGTTTTAAATCGGTGTAGCTAGTTTATGGTATTGGACATTGACAAGGTTAATGTTTCACTTGATAAACCTCTATGTAAGTTTCTCGATAATGTACTGTACTGTAAGTAGATAATGTTCACACACACACACAGAACAGTCAATAACGATTTAAAGCATAACGATTAGTTCATATGCATATATTAACTGTAGACGGATAATATCAAAACAAACCAACGAAATTTGTCTCACTGATCGATCTATCCTCACTCGTACGGAACCAGCCTAACTGAGAGGGACAAGGGGGGGGGGCGGGTACTCTGTTTTGTTCACTAGGGACGGTCGTTTAGCCTGTAAGACGTTTAAGCCACTACAAGAGCTGCCTAAACAACCATTTTTCGAGGTGTATGGCTGTTTTATACACTTGTCGCAATACCGTGTAGAATGAGAAACGTTCACACAAATAAAGGAATAAAGTATCCTCAACTAACGTAGCTAAAGTCTTCTACTGCCACAAACTTCACCTCACCTTCACACACGTACAGTACCTACCTTGTTGTTTGTTGGGAATGTGTTGGTGGTGGGGAATGGCGGAGGTGTTGGTGACTGCCAGAGCCGCCACCACCACCAGCGCCCACACGTTCATGGTGGTGCTGGTGAAGATCACACACACACACACACACGTCTCTCTGTACAACCAAGCTCACGATTTTCTGTTTAAACTGTCATTTTATTTCAAAGTTCGTAAGTTCGTAATCACCCTCAGAGAATGGTTACGGTATAAAGACTAATTTCCTCCGTAGGTGTTGTCTTCTTTGACCTGTCCCGAAATAACAGTTAGTGATGTTCCGTCTTCAAGTAACATAAATACCAGTTCACTATATCAACAAATTTCTTCCCTTAGTTTACTACACACAGTAAGTTTGTATAAAATGTTCAGTTTTTCTCACAAATTCATCGTAATTTTATTAAAAAACATTTGCTATTCATTTCCCCCCTTGTAAAAGTTTATCGAGTGTCTGTCTTGGTATCCTCCACCATCACCTCACAACAGTTTTAAAACCTTTGAGTCCTATTCACTGTCAGCTCTGAGGACTTGTTGAGTAGCGTCACTCTGGTCTTCTGAGTTACTCCACACACTGACTCGCCCTTGATACTTCTCATGTAATTTTTTCTAGTACCTTACGTCTCTTGATAATTCGCCTTCACGTCTTTTCAAAAACATTCACTAATCAGTTTTTACTACACAATATGTGGTTTAGAAACATGCCTCACTTTAAACTCGTCTTCTCAGGTTCATCACTACAGAGAAAATTTTCAGGTTGGTAAAATTCGGGGAGATGTCAGGTGGCGGCGTGACCCACCTGAGGCCACCAGTGAGCCAGCTGGTGGTTGACTGTTCTTGTCCGTCACGTGTTTACACCAACCCCTACTACCCTCACGTCGCTGTCTAAGTTTAGATCTCTTGTTTGTGCCCCTTTACGAGTTGCACTTTCCTTGAGTGGCTTTTTTCTTTTCGACGAAAAGGGCAAAATTCTAGCTTGTTTTAAATGTATTATTTTTATTTTTGTACTTATCAGTTTCTGATCATTTTTATCAAGAGAGAAACAAGGTTGAAGTTTAAACAGCCTAAGTAAGCGATGCAAACTATCGTTTCATCAATTTCTAAGGGGAAGGGAATTATGCAGCGTGTAAGCTCTCTGTGTTATTCTTAAAGCTTGAGAGCATGTTGGAATATCTTGTAGCATCAGAGGTGGGAGCAAGACAGTGAGGGTGTGGGTGCAGGACAGCGTGTGTTGTGGATGGAACCAAGAGTTCAGTCACGGCGCCTGACCAGCCTCGAAGCAGCGTTCCTTCTACCACCCTCGCCAATGAAACACTGACTCCACCAAAACACCAACTATTACTCACCCTGCTATGGTGGTGCAGAGTGCCAACACCTCACTTCTTCCTACCAGTTTATTTAATCGTATATTCTATCTAACTCTCTCACAATGCTTTATCTCTGTGAGTAATATGAATGTGTCTTATGCATTATGAAATATTCACTAGTTCAATATTGCATCGTTAAGAAAAATATCATTCTTGGGAACAAAATTTCGTCACGCGATTGCGTGCCCAACCACTCGCCAGACAGGAGGGAACCCCAGTCCAAGCAGCGACATCTATGGCCGGCGACCAGCAGCTGTGACGTCACCACAACGCCACGGATGAACAGTTCTCTGAGTGGTTAGTTAGAGAGGCCTCTTAGATGACGTCACAAAATAACAGGTATCACATTGGGTAAGTCGGGAGGCATCTTGGATGACGTACTGAATAACAGAGTTTCTGATTGGATATAAGATGAGGCATTCCTACGTCACAGATCACCCGATAATACAAACTTCCCGTGATCACACGTTAATCTTTATTGTCTGTAGTACACATTGGGGCCATCTTAGTGGTATCTTCCTGTAGTGTTAGTTCAAGTTACTGTCAATATTTATGTCTTCTAAGTTGTCTATATTACAGAAGGTGTTGGTTGAGTCTCGGGTACTCAAATTCGCCTGCCACACGCATTCAGACCATGCCACTGACACGCACCCACGCTGAGATACGCACACACACACTAACATAGGCATCATTAAGCATGAAGGTATCTGGAGATTTCCTTCTTCAAAACCACATTCAATATTCACTGGATAACTGTATATAGGAATGAGTTAATGAATGTGTGTTGACGGAGATAAATAATTAGAAGGCAGAGATGATGATTGAGAAGTGGATGGAGAGGAGAGGGTGTGATGGGGTTTAAGTGGTGAAAGGGTTAGATAGGTAGGTAGATGCTTATTCAGTGAAATTGTCACACAAGTTTTCATTGCTTCGCCATATACACCAGGCAGTGCTGGGTATACGTATAATGAACAGCTATGGTAAAAAAGAATTCGGCAGGCAGAGGTAGGTGGAGAATTGCAACGTAACAGAGAGATGGCGATTAAACGTCTGCGATTTTTCACACCACAAATTTACTGTTTTTAGTTGAATTAGAAGACAGGCGCTTACACCCCCTCTCTACCGAAGTCTTTGTGTCCATAACTGTACATAGATAAATAGACAGTGCTCGTATACAATGCAAACTTGGAAACAAAATTTCGCTCCCTCCCAAAATGAAGTAGTGACCCCAAATGAGATGCAAACCAGACGGTCGCGGCAGCAGGGTAAGTCATTTCAGAGACTCATTCCTGTGACTCACACGGGGGCAAACTTTTGCTCGCGACTAATGGTAAATCAGAATGGGTTGAACAATAAAATAAGATAATAGTTATGTAAGGAACCAGCGACTTGATGTAGACGTGAGGGATGGAGGAGAGGAATATGTGTTAGACTAATAAAGGTAAAGAAGATTTAGGTAAAGTGGAAGTAGAAAGATGGAGAGAGAGAGAGAGAGAGAGAGAGAGAGAGAGAGGGGGGGGGGGAAGACTGGTGTCGATGTGATGAGGGATCTGAAGTACACGTAGTTGAAGGCGAGGGCAGAGTTGAAAGTGTTTTGCCCTGTTCCCCTCTCTCCCCTCGAGGATGTTTACCCTGTGTAGTGCGCTGAAGAAGGGAAAGTACCAGGCAAGAAATTAAACTGCTCACCATCTCTCTCTCTTAATCCACCGTTATGACAGCCAGCCAGCGTTGTTCTCTCTACCTGCCTTTAGTGATATTATGTCTACGTTCCCTATAGCTCTCATGCTTATAGTTAAATATATTGTATTCCAGTGAACTCTTTTTTTCCACTCATCATTAAGATCTTTATAATAATATCATCTTCCCTTTTCGTCGTCTAGTACAGTTATACTATCTTGTTTTATAAGTGAAGCGCAAAATTCGGTATTAAGTTCACACTGATATGCTTCATCACGTTTGCAGTTATATAATGATTAATAAATATTCATCCTATTTGTGGAGTGCTTTCCCAGCCAATCATCTCGAACTACAATTCAATGTAGCACAGCCAGTCGATAACAAGCACATTAGGTATTCATTTCCCCGGCGTAGAACAGCTGCAAATGTATCAGGCGAGCCTCTCACACCGGTGTTTTCTCCGAGTAGTCAAGCGAGCGTCTGACGCCAGCCATCCCTCCAACCACCCTCACCATAAACAAATAGGTAAACAAGCAGAGCGGAAGAGGCTAATAAATACCTTAGCATTAAAAACAAATGATGATGACCTACTTGACCTCTACCTGATCCATGAGAGAGTCTGAGTCACGGGTGAAGGAAATTAGCAGATGGGAATCTTGACGTAAATAATGAAAAGGGTTCTTACCATCAGAATACCACGGAGACAAGGAACCATTGTTTTCTGGTCATATTTCTTGCACATTACTTTTCTTTATATTAGTTTTATATCGTTATCATTTTTTTCTCGTCTTTTCATTCCTTTCTTCTCGGACTTTCTTTGTGGTTACTGCCTGTCTGGCTGTGCACCTTCGTCCAGACACACTTAACAAAACTTCCTTGAATTTGGCCCAGCATCTCATACTGCAATGCCCCTCACACTGTCGCTGACCAATTCCACTTTTCTCAATTAAGCATAAAATACTTCCTTTACTTTCTGTTCCTTCAATTAACACTCTCCTTCTTGAAACATACACCTTCCTTTTCCTGTACACACAATTTATAACAAGTTTCCGATCATCTGATATGTAGTCAATCTGTGTTATTCCACAGAAACATAATAGTGACACGTCTACTGTATACTTAGTGGTCTCGGTAGGTCCTGTGCTTAAGGTCAATATTTACTCCTTCGCTGTTGTAGTTTACACGAAGGACTCAAGAGTTAACCCACATATATAATGTTTATGTGCGAGGGAATGGTGGCGCCAGGGTGGAGTCAGCCCACATTCTCAAAGGTTAGTATTGGTAGGGTAAATTTCACTCAATTGTGGAGACGTGAGAACACACGTAACCGAACTGCCTTAAGCTACGGTATAAAGACGGTAAGTAAAAATATATCCTGACATTAAAACAGTAAAGTAATTATACGCGAATATTTGAGAAACCAAACGGAGACTCCCGCCCAACCCGGCACACCCTAGCTAATTATTTACGCATTTACTGGGTAATAAAAATAATTAGCGTGACAAGAAGTTGCCCACCGTCTAAATTTATGCGTCTGTTTTCCCATCAAGCCAACACGACGTGGCTGGTCTCATATACACACAGTCAGATGAAACACTAAATTTCAGCCTCACACCAGCAAACTTCAGTGAGTAAATATAAATATACGAATTAAAGACGCCGATGTATTAATGACTGGGAGTTGACAGTACTGTATAAAGAGAACAGACCTACCAACTGTACATCCACAGTGACTGGATGTACCGCGCTACGCATCACTCCTGGTGACCCTAAGAGAAATCTCTTGCTATTTCCGTCTCGCGAAGAGTGAGACGACGGGGCCTGGGTGGGCAGACGGGACCAGAGCCATGTCCGGCCGTGACCAACACCACTCCTGTGTAACTCTCCCGTACTAGTGTTATTGTAATATATTCCTATGACTTCAATAAGCTAAGTAAGCTCGATTTTTACGAGCTTATATTTATCTGTCACTCGGAATTGAGACTGACTGGAATGCTAAACATTGATGTGTTTGAAGAGCTGAATGCCAAAGCTGTAACTAAACGTTAATTGTAATACTGAATACTAAATAGCAGTTTATGACACAAGATGTCAACCGAAAATTTGTATGAAAAATTGGACTTACGTTCGCATGAGTATTACAATGACAAAGCACTGCTGTCTGAAGAATTAGGCCCAGTGTTGTGACAAAATCAACTCTAATTTTCAGCAATTTGCTTTTAGCTGTACATTAACAAGGCAATGGATGGCAAAGCAAATATGTACTTAATATTGACTTGGCTTTTTTTGTATTACAGTATTAAAATTTGTACAACGTTCTCCCTGAGTTGCCTTATACAAGAGATCACCGAAGATGACATTAAAATAAACAAAAGGATTAAAGTGTCCTCATTACTCTGTCGATCTCATTACTCGGTGCTCATAGGTTGATCTGGTTACCTCTGGCCTTTACTATTTTGTTGTAGATTTGGAAACGCGAGACTTATAAACCTGTCAAGACGGCGAAATTGAGGAAGCCATGTATACGTATACTCTCGCACTCTGGCTTAGAAAGACTCCTTCAACTCCATCCCTTACCCACTCTCGCCACTCATCACCGATTCAACAAGAATTTCCTGTTGTCGGCATCAGGACAAACTTGCCTTTTACGAAACTTTGCAATTTGTGTTTGAGGAATAAATTTCAGTTAATTAAGTTGGCAGCAGCAGCAATGAGGCGCGGGTGTACCGACTTTGATGGCGCGGGAAACATGGGGTAGCGCTTAATGGGTCTTGGGAGTGGGGATCTCTTCACCGGTTACCAATCTCACCGAGTGATAATTTTTATCAGTGGACCTTTGATGGTCTCAATGTGACTTAATTCATCCAAACGGAAGTTGGTAATCTGGAGCAGAATAGCAGATGGCTAACACCAGAACCCGTTGTTCGATTTCGTTCATTTTTTCTAGTAATAAAAACGATGCACCAATGGACAGAACCTAATACAACATATTGATATTGACCTAACCAACCAAACCTTACTTAACTTCGTAGCCGGGGGCGGACCCCCGCCATATTAAACAGAAAGTACTTACTTTGGTATCTGGTACCAATAAAAGCAGCTTTCTTAAAGCACCGCGGTGTAACTTCACGATTTTTGTGGACGTGAGAGTAAGCTAGGACCGTGTGTAAACAAAGGGCAGACGACATGCGCCATCATGGCAGATTTTAGGCTTTTTTTTTTTAATAATTGCCCCTTTTCACGAACAAAACACGAATAGACATCATTTGTCACCTGATCAGTTTTTCACCGTGTTTTACCCCGCAATATCCCTCATCCTTGATACCATGCCCATTACAAGTGATTTATGATCGTAGATATAGAACTAAAAAAAAAAGTACTTATAATTAAAATTAAAAGTTGTATCGTTTTTATTATTCACTATCATCCAAAGAACACGTGAAAAAAGCGAAATCGACAAATCCTGGTGTTAGACATCTGCTCTAGTACTGTACAGTAATACCCGCAAATTATTTTTTCAGCGTGTATATAATTATCTGATAACGAGTACGCAAAATTAGTATGATAAAAATAATAGAAAACTTTTATACTGGAAGCTCCTCGCTCATATTTACTGGTTAACACAGTTCGAATGACATACGTACTTCAAAGTACATCGGTGACGTAACACTTAATTCATTAATACAGATAATACAGTGTCTTTCCTGGAATGCACAGTAATATTGACGGTGAAATCAAATGCAGGAAAAAGACGAAGTTCCACCCTTTTTTTGCTTCACATTCGCTCCTCGACCACCAAGAAATATGCTAATTAAAGGGGATTTGAAGTCGTGTCTCTATCTAAGTGACGTTCGTGTCTGTATACGCTCTTCATTCTCACCCCATCACTCGTATCACTGTCCCTGTTGCACGTTGTGGCCCTTTAAGTATCCTTTCCTGTAAGATTAAGTATTTCGTAGTCTGTTACTTTAGCTGTGCCCTATATCCTGTTATTGTTAATGTTCCTTGATCTAAAGTTCCTTATAATGTGTGTGACTTTCCTCTGGTCTAATGTCTTGTGAAATCTGAACCATAATAAAGAAAAGATAGTACAGTGAGTACTGTAGCTTCTTCTTGCGAACAAAAAGTGGAATTCACCCCCTCCCATTGCATGAATACTCTTAATAAATGTCATTAAACATTTATAAAAGTTAAGGGAAAATTCTATTTGTCTCTTCCCCCCTGCCCCCTCCCCGTGGGCGTGTTTCCCATGAGCTTCGGGCCTGGAGCAACCCTACAAAGTTGGTTGGTTTTCAAAAGCTCGGGCCAAGTGAAATTTCCAGAGGCAGATTTTTGTGAAAACAAAATTAATGGGGCATTTGCCCCCGACCCAAGATATTGACCGGCCCAAGAATATTGAGTGAATAATTTGTTTTTTATTCACTTTCTTTTTTACAAACGAAAATAGTTGCCGGACATAGAGTGAGGCCATTGGTATCCCCCTAGAAAATGAGATGGTCTTCTTTCCACAATCCTTGATCACAATATGTGCACATTACAAAATTTTAAGTGAACGGTTTGTTCCTTAATGTTCCCACAACAGACACTTGTGGTAAGCCAGTATACAGTACTTTTGACAATTCCTCTGGCAGCTTGGCCTGGCTGGTCAACTCAGGGAAGACCGTCATGATGTTGAAATCACAGAGGAACTGTGTATACCTGGTGATAGGTCATGATAAGTCACAACCACTTGTCATCAAAACTGACTTTGAATTATTTTAGTTAGTTAAATTAGCAATTACCAGAAATACTTCACAGATTATAAGTTCGTTTTTTTTTCGATAACTACCCTGTAGTATAGTATTTTGTTAACAACACAATTTGTCTAGTACAATACAAAACACAATTATAAACACTATGTAATATTTGTTATTATTCATAAATGAAAATACTGTAAGAGCAAAACAATATAGTGGAAACCTCTGAGCTCGGTACCGTAGCGTGGTTCAAATATCTGCTACAGTGAATTCATGTACGTACCTCTATACCAAGCATGTCACTTACAAAACCAAGTTGTGGTAGAAATGTGAGAGAAGATCCAGTGGTTGCTGAATGTAGGATAAAATGGCACAGTTAAATATCTACAACATCGATAATTTTGCTGAGGAGTCTTAGTCTTGGTTTGAAATGCAGACACAGCATCAACATTCCCAGAAAAACACTGCATCTGATGCAATCTTGTCCTTGATGGCTCTTCTAAAGCAGTGTGATATGTTTCCTGCTATTCGAGAAGTCCTACTGATCTCTTTGACAGTTCCAGCCTCCACTTGTGAAGGCCGAGACGTGTCAAGACATGGCTTCGATCAACACTGTCAAGTGAGTGCTTGTCTGGGCTGTGCCTGTTCAGTGTGCATCAACAGGTGTTAAATAGAGTCTTCACTGAATAGTCAAGATATGGAGTCACAAAGATAAGATGAAGATTATAATACTTGTACTGTATATCCTGATTTGTGGTAGCACTAAATAGACGCAATACCTTGGGATCAACATTTTAGTGATTGAACTTAAGATGACAGACTGTTAACTTGTGCTGTTATTACTGCACTTCAACAACTAAGGTCTTAAGAACAAAACAATGCTAATAATTACACTAATCCACCAAAAATTAAAACATCATGAGAGATAGAACTACAGTATCTGGAGTGTGGGTAATTAGTCAACAAAAGTACCAGTACAGTGACTCTCATAGGGCCAGCTGTTGGTTAGTCAAGATATTCCTGGATCTGTGCTTAAATAAAGGGTCCAAGAATCATAAGTACAAAATTAAAGGTGTGACACAGCAGAAACCAGATAAGTATGACATGTTGATGGAACAAGCTCGTGTAAAGATTCACCGTGTGAACTATCATAATTTTGTACTATGCATTCTAAGATCTTGACCTTTCACTAAAAGTATTAGGATTTGTTTGACAGGTCCAGTTGTCTGATATAAGCTGCATTCCAAAATATTGAGGTAAAAAATTGCAAGGATTTACCAGAAGCAAGTACAGTACAGTATTACAATAGTGTACCTCATCCAATCTGAGGGATACAGTATGCCCTCCAATATATTTCTAATAAATATACCTGTACAGGGGGTCCCTGGGTTACGAACGGGTCCGTTCCTGAGGAAGTTTTTAAGTCAGATTTGTACACAAGTCGAAATACATACTAGTATGTGCATACCGTTCTTGCAGAACAATGTTTAAAATCCCACTATATCATGACCTAAGTCCTTATGTACATCTAAAATCACTTGAGCCAAAAGAAGAAATAAAATGACAAAATACAGTAAATAAAAGTAACAAATAAATCTGGTAAATAAAATACTGTAAATTTCAAATTTAACCCATTTCGTATCGGCAGGTGTTCATAATTTTGGGACCCCGTGTTAATATATGCATTATTAAGCCATATTATTACTTTGTGGGAGGGAGGTGGACCCATTGGTGACAGGCCACTTGGGTCTTGCTGTGCACCAAATCTAAAATGGCAGCCATAAGGCATCTCCGGCATAGGTGGGATTGCCTTGTGTTGGATTGAAGTCACAAGTAATTTTGCTGTGAAATTACATAAGGATCAATGACAGGTGTATTGCATACATAAGAAATCATGATCATTGTACAGATATGTAGTTGGATATGGCAAAAACAAGCAATTAACTCCTAAGTGGACAGCCCAGAAGTTTTTAATTAGTACTGAATTTAATGGTATTACAGAGCGACCATTGGAGGCTTGTGGGAATAAGGTACAGTAGTGACAACAATGCTGAAATACTCTCATGATGATCTAATAATTTACAGACTACAGACCCCAAGAAAGGTTCTCACAGTATTGGATTTTCAAACCAGGTAAGTTCATAACACTCCCGATGGTAAATTATACATGCAAGTGTTGAATCCTAGCTTGCTTAGTTTTCACAGATTCAAAATAATACCTACAAATTGTTAAGTTATGCCAGCTAGATACTGAAAATATTTAAGCTATCATATTCTGAATTCGAGTTGCTTTTTCTGCAGTAAAATCGATTAACTAACAGAGCCAAAATTCATCATCGTTGTCAATGTGTTACAGCCATTTCCACGCTTGTGTGCATTAACCTCTATTACCAAATGGCAGCTCTCCACTAGAGGTATTCAATAAACAGTATATACATTATTGTACAGTGCTATAAAACAACCTGTTGTTCTTTAATCAACTTATTTTTCCAGACAGCACAAACCACTTGGCTGCCACACAACTATTAATGCAATAAAGATGGCCGTACAGTCATCACAAAACCTCAAGCATAAATGGAGGAAGGCAGTAACTGTATGGATACCAGGCGTGTGATAATCGTTACTGTCTGTGGCATAAGATAAATTTTTCCTTCCAATTATCAAACAATCTTGGCAAGGATCTGAAGAAGTGCAGAGATTCACCAAGTTTTGACTCTTGGCCTTGTGATTCACTAGTCATTAGATTCCACCACTACACCAGTGAATACCTTTCTCAGGTCAAGTCGTATCTACAGGTGCAGTAAGTGAAAAACTTATTTTAGCAGCAAAAACACTGTTTGGAAGAAAAAATTCTGCCACCATCCTCACACCATTAACGGATGTACTGTACTATCAAGATAGGCTTCGTGTGCTAAAATCATGTGTCCCTCATTGATGGCCTGTAACTATAAATATTATTATGGTAATTGCTGAAGAGTATTAAACACATTAAGTATTTCAAATAAAATAATCTTTAATATAAGGATCAAAATACAAGGAGTTATTCAGTCAAGTAAACCCCAATACAGTACTGTAATGTATCAGGTTGTATGACAACAAAATACAACTACTGTATTGTATCTTGCCATTCATGTCTCAACTGACATAACTGTACAGGTACTGCACTAATTTTGTAAACTGACGAGTGGCTATATGAAAATAACTGCCACTTGTAGGTTCAGAAAAATCTGAAACAAAATACGTTGCTCATTTCAAACCAAATAACAAATACATGAAGTATTACTCACTGTAAAATATCAAACAGTAACCTAAATACTTCAATTCATATCCATAGATAAAAAATTCATACTGATTAAACATCATACGGTAAATTTTATACTGTACAGTATAACTAATTACAGTATACGTAGTCTTATTCGTTTCAAAATTATTTTCCCCTCATGAATTGAATTCCAATAGCCAATAGTCTTATATTAGCATATATTTTCTTTTTATATCTCCACGTTAAGAAAAAATTCTTTTGTACAGTGAAGAATGTAGCTTTAAAAAAAATAAATAAACAAACAAACAAACAAATAAATTGAACATTAGAAAAACAACCATACAAATTAATATTTCTGGAGAGGGAAACTTAGGTAGTCTTTTATTACTGAATATTGTATTTTTCAGATACTGTTCCTACAGATCTGAGTACAGTACACAGATGACAGTCGAGACTATAAGCCTATTACAGCCTACCCTTCCAAAAATCTTTCATTACAAGCAGTTTTTCTTATGATGAAAAAAGAAGAAAAAATCATTAAACCTCATCATGCCAGTATTTACACAAGCTACAACCTACTTTTTGAGCTCGTTAATCTTTTCTAGTAACTTATCGGCATCTTCACCAGTCTTGACACGTATTAGCATCTTGACTGGCTCGGTCGATTTAGACTTTCCATCAAGAGGGGGATTGGGTATACAAGCAATGATCACACCATTCTTACCTGCTCTGATGGCAGGAATAGAAGCATTAAGAATAATATTGAGCAAGATATTACCTAGATTTGTAAGGGCTCTTATAACTAGCTGAGTCTTATCTCCAGCAGGCTTGAGGAACAATGTGCCTATCCCCTTCTCTACATATTCTTCATCTTTCATATAGAATAATTTACACTTCTTTTCATAGAGAGCATCCTCCTCTTTCACCTCATTTATTTCAACTTTGGGTGGCTCATCATTTGGTTCATCTAATCCTTCACTTCTAACACTGCCTCCAGTAGCTGCAGGAGTACTACTACCTTGAAAACTGAAACCGCTGGATGTTGATGAGCTTGTTTCTGAAGGAGTCAGACCACCAAATGAAAATCCCTTACCACTCTTACTAACTGAACCACCAAATATTGAACTTTCTACCTTTTTGTTACTAGTATCAAATCCCCCGTATGTTAAAGGTTTTGTCTCTAAATCCCCAGCTGTCTTCTCTGTTCCTGCTGTTGATGCCCTCGAGCCAAACGTGAAAAGCATTTTATTAGTGTCTGGACTTTTCCCATTAGAGGAGGTACTGGTAGTGGATCCACTGAAAGTAAAATTTTTCGGTGGAACACTCTCCTTGGTTGTCGGTTGTGAAATTAATGGCTTGTTTTCTTTTCCGCTGGCTTCATCCTTTTTGGAGCTATTTGCTGTTCCTACCTCTGAATCACTTTCCCCTCCAGATGCAGGAGGATATTTTCTAGAAAGTTCCTCAAAGTGCTTTTTGTAGTCGTCAAAGACTGGTGACAAATTAACATGTGAATTCTTATCGAGATGTTGTTTGACCCAAAGAAGTACACCTTCATTTAGGGCCTTCAGGTGGGCCAGAAAAATCTTACTACCACCTTTGCCAGATGAATCAGCAATTGTTTTAGTTGGTCCAACACCATTAACTTTACTAGAATCTACTGATATTGGAACAGTACGTGGTAAAATTGGCTGTATGGCTGTTTTGTTATCTTGAAAGGTGGTTGATTTTTGCTGGCAGAATTGGAATGGCTGTATGGGTGATTTGTTATCTGAGGAATTTATTCCAGACGTTGAAGTCAGAGACTTTGTATCAGAAAAAGATGAAGAAAAAACTTCTTTAGGTCGTGCTGGTGGCTCATTTGAAGGAATCTTACTTAGAAAACTAAAAGAGGGTTGACTAGATTCTTTGTTTGCACCAAATCCAGCGAATGAAGGAAATCCTTTAAACACTGAAGATGATGAAGAGTCTTCAACAACACCTCCTCGTCGGCGTGCCTTTTTTATTTGTCGTCCAACCATTTGCTCTGATGATGCTTTACGGAAGGTGCCCATCTCTTCCGGTTCTTCTTCCTCAGCCCAATTCTCATGGTTTAATTCTTTTGATGCACCTCGTTTGGCCATGTTTTCCTGTAAGAAAGAAAATATATTGAGCATGTTTACTTACAAAAAAAAAAAAAAAATCCAAACAGAGGATTGAGGAGTAAAACCCCATTTCATGGCTTGGTGGAGTATGCAATGCCTGACCAAGAGAATGAATGTACTTTACTATCCCTGTTGATAAAAGTTTGCCTCAATACTCTATTGGTAAAGACAATTATCTCATACATTTCTTGAAGTTTGGGAAATGACGGCCATGCAAGGCAGTGTTGACTACAGTTTCCTTGAGCACTTAAGGCAAAGCATTCAGTGTGTCATATATGTGCTATACACAAACTATTCCTTGTTAGCCATCAGACCTTTGGGACCCACTTTCAAATACAATCAGAAAAACTGAACTTATTCCAACAAAATTTAATCTCATACTATATACCGAGTATCCTAATTCTTCTGACCAGTGACCAAATTCACTTGGCAATTAGAAAACCGACCTAATTTCTATTAATGCAGTACGGTATAAGGATCATTCCATCGTGAGGTCCGTTACATGCGGAGACAACTCATTCGTGCATTTCCAGTTATACGGTATTATTATAGTAAAACAGTATAATCAAATGGCATATATTACCAACACTTAGAGTTATATCATGCTGCTAATCAAAATGTCATTGTTATAATATGATTTTATATTTAATTTCAAAGTTACTGTGAGGGTCATTACCACTATGCTATCCATCTAGTCAATCCCACTTGTCCATTTCAACATTTCTGTGAACTGACTGATTCAATTAAAGAGTGCTTCATATCAGTAGTACGTTAATGAATAATGTTCACAACCATACCTGGCAAATTAGATTATGCAATGTTGGTTTGAAATTACTGGGGAAAATGTGACTGAGGTTCGTGATAGGAAAACATGAGGATTGTTACCGTGTAATTACCATTTCTTTTACATGAATTTTAGCAGCAGTAGCAGGATATGATGGCTTCAGTTACGCCAAATCGCAGTCTATAAAAAAGAAAACAATGAACAGCAAAAAACGAAGAACAGAATATGAGTACAACAGAAAGAATGCAATGAAGACAAGAAAAAAGAAGTTCTTGACTGTAAAAACGTGTGACAATATTAAAGTTAAGATGAAAACTTGTTTCTTTGAAGACAATGTAACACCCCATGAGGGCATATTTCACCTTTTTTTTTAATCCAGTCAAAAACAGGTATTTCAGGCATAAAATTAGTGGTCACCCCAAGCGTATTGTTGTGACTGGCGGGCGTGTGGTCCCCTATGTCCACCACCTCGCTCAAGGGAGGGGGAGTGAGCTCCATTGTCTGGATCACTGTTCTCACCGCTAGCCGCCTCAACAATCTCTACATCATCTGGGTCTGTCTCCTCCCCTTTACTGTTTTTGTCACCCGATACTTTATCAGTGCCTCTCAAATAAAGGAACTCTTGATGCATAACACATCGAAGGACATGCACCCATCATGATAACTGGTGGGTAACTGGACTACTAGACTTGAGACAAACATTATGTGCGAGTTGAGTTTCCAAGTAAATAAATATCAGTCAAACTATTCCACAAAAATTAAGGACATGGAGGAACGTCATCCAGACTTTAAGGGGTAATATTGTCACACACGCTTTTACAGCAAAGGTCTTCTTTCTTTAGTGCCGAGACACTGAGCACAGAACACGATATAAATACCTGTAGTGTAAAAATTAGCAATGCCTGTGAGGGTCATTACTACTGCAGCGATAACGGCAACTCACTCTGAACATGTAACAAACCTCAGGGGTCTGTAGGATAGCAAAGCCCCAGAGAGAACATTCCAAGGTCACGTTAGTACAGGTATTGGGAAAAATGCAAAAAAAATTTAGGTTCATTACTTTGGATCTACTGTACTGTACTCGCATTTCAAGCACGTCAATAAAAATCTACACAAGATATTTAAACATTTTAGCAGTGTTTACAACCCAATGGGATCATTGTCATTCGGTACCATGTTATAAAAAGTCCAGACCTACAGATATTTCGCCAAATGATGGATTATAAGTTTTGGCTCTCAAGTTTACATTTTTCATGGAATGACCCATAACTTGAAATAACCTAAAACATAATATATTAACCAATCTTAACTAAACTAACCTTAAATTATGCAAGGTTAAGCCTAAGTTAGCTAGCCTATTAGGTGAAGTTGGGCTATATTATTCTAATTATATTGGGTTAGTTTTCATTTGATGTTTTGGCTTAGTTTTGGTTGTGATAGTGTAAGTTATATTACATACACTTGAGAGGGGTGTTCATGCATACAAGCAAGCATCTGTGGTTCTTCACTGCCTATTAAACTAACAAATATGCATATGTTATACACTAAACGAGGAAGAATGCGATATGGGAAGAGGGGTACAAAGATGTCCTTCACCACAACACACAACTCACTCTCCTCTGCATGTTATGGATGCTTAGGACTTCCCAAAATATTTCCTAAACATTCAAGGTCATTGGATATCCTATACTACACTCTTAGCAGCCTTCACACCCAGTTGAAACCATATTTACAACAGGATTCAGTTGCTGTCCTTGATCCGAAGAAATATTTAGTTAAAAGTCTTCAACTCGAAAGACCTGCTTCATCTTGCAACCAGGGCCCAAGCCTAGTGGATGCTCAAGGACCCAAGATATGATATTCGACACCCCAATGAACTTGGATGTCCGAAAACGGAACTATCTTTTCCTTCTTCTCAAAATCTACTTGTTTGTCAATGCATATGTTGCTTAAATTGCACACATGTAAATGAACTGTTATCTACATTTTTTTAACACTGCAAAATATTTCCTAAACATATTAATAAAAGACTCTTGACTACATGAGTAGCTTCCCATGTACTGTAGGCCTATACAGTACAGTATCCTATATTTGTGTAGGCCCACCAATATGGACTTAAGTATTATGTTGTTTTGATTTAAATTTCTATTGTACTGTACCATTATTATAAAAAATCACTCCTCAATCTTCTCCATTACAACTTCGTGATTCAATCAGTTCAGCTTTTCTATCTTACATACAGTAGTTGACCATAACAAGCTCCCTGCACTCAATACAATTATCAAAACATTATCCTAACCTTTCACATTATATATTTCAAAATTCCTGTTCACTCTCTACAAAGAGTACTGTATCATACACATACACAACTAAAGGCCACATCTCACCATCCAGTGTACTACCATCCTAGGCAAGGTATTAAGTACAGTACTGTATATGCAACAGAAAAATAAGAATAAACTCCAGCAACACATTAAAAAATTAATGTACTGTACACGTGTCTGAGCACGTCACAACACCACCTTTCAGTCATACAAATACAGACTCATAAGTCAGAAAGTAAATAAAAAATTGTAACAAATGAACAAAGCAGAATTTTGTGATACAACTTTTTCAAGCATTTGTGTAAAACGTTTAAAGATTAATACAAACAGCTGAAGAAAGACATCTGATATGATAAAAAAATGTGATGAAAACCTCTCACTGTTTATACTTTAGAATGATGGGAGAGAAGTGGTTAGTGATGGATATATCATGTCACAAGGGAAACGTGGATAAGATCAATCTTGATAAAACTACACTGGAGCCAAAGTTAAAAGTTGGAACTACTCCCTCTCCCTCTTCTTAATTTCTGAGGTTTTCCAGACACTTGAAATGGCATAATTTTGCACCTGAAGCTTGTGCACAGTGGTAAAAGGTGGGGCTGACTGTGAACTAAAATCTTCCATATTTTAGATACAGTAACTACTCAACTTTGATGTTCAGAAAAAGTCTCCCAGAACCTAACCAGCTGTAAACAAATGACCTCTCAGATTTATGAACAATATTTACTACGGTATAATGTATACCATAATGGAAACTATCATAATACAGTTAACACTTGTTATTCGTGGGGGTCAGTTTCCAAGGAATGGAGCAAATAGCCAAAACTGCAAATAACAACTTATACTGTACTACCTTAATGCACTACTGAGTACCTATACCAAACAACTGACCAGCCTCGGCAGCACTCTTCCTCTCTTTTAACTTTTCTAATAATTCAACTTTCTTTGTTAGGTTCATCACTGACTTCTGCCTTTTACATTTCACTCCACTAGCATCACTAGCACTGACACTAGGCAGCCTTTTAGGGGCCATTTCACACAGAAACACAATAGTCTTGACAGTACAACATGAGATGCTGCGTCACAGGCAATGGTTGAGCATGAACAGAGGAAGAGAAGACGCTGCGGGCGCGTGGGGCGACTCGTTACGCTGCAGGGAAAAGGCTTACAAGCTACCCACCATAGCCACCATCTGCTTGCTGCAAATCGCAAACCCGTGAATGGCAAGGGTCTACTGTAATCCTTTTCCATAATTAAATCATTATTTCTTTACCATAATGCATTTGGGAGAAATCCGAAGTAATTTTTGTAAATGTTCTATACATACATTATGCTGACTATAGACCTGATTATTGTGAAGCACAGTGATTCACCCCATATGACCTGATGTGTGTATAAAGCCTATGTGCGTTTAAGAATGTCTGTTGTTTCCTGGTACGTACCTGTGCATGTAGGACTAAACGGTACAATAAAATATATTTCTATACAATATATACATGACTTAGTAAAGTTGTAAGTGGTTCTCTGCTATATGTCATGCTTATCCCTGTACAGAACCTACCTTTGAGGGTGTACAATAAGTAATTGTAGATAAGAGTTTGCATGTGTGTTTATGTATGAAACTGTGTCTGCATGTTTATTTTTGTACATTATAACAAATCAATGCAGTACACACACAAAAAAACACCACACACACACACACACACACACATGTCTTTAAATAATATTCATTGTACTTTAGATCAAAGTTTCATTACCTGAGTATGAAGAGTTTTGAAGAACAAGGAAGAACCTAAGCCAGATTACCTAAAGGCTTAACTTCAAACATGGGTCATGAAACTGACTGACAGTTGGTCTGCAGCTCACACCTCACAGCTTCACCTAAAAAACAAATATCATACAGTTAAACCATGTAAATGACACCTTTGATATGATACAACTTAAACTACGATACAGAGGACTGTTAATGACTTGCTAACTTAAGATCCTCAACTGTCAAGATATAAACTAAATTTGGAATAATGGAAAGTAGCTACCAGCCAGAATAATACAGTATATCTAGTAGAGTACAGTACTGCATCTGTCATTTGTGAGTTGTTATGGACTTGGCAGGTCTAGAACACAGTTGGAACAAGATGGGTTATATATCTATATGGATTTGCTATTCATAAACTGGGTGAAGGGAAAAAGGAAGGTGGATGGAGGCAAACCATACACAGATAATGAAAAAGAAAAAAGGAGAGAGAATGACATAAGAAAAAGAGGGGAACAAAAGCTCATAGGTAATAAATCCTAGAAAATTAATCAATGTAAACTTATATCAACTGTGTAATGAGGTCAAAAGTGGGGATCAGCTGAATAATAATGGTAGTTATGTGTCCTATAAATAGATATAATTAAATTATAATAGATTGCCGATGATTATATATATAGTATAATATAAATTCTAAGTAGCATTGAACATAAGCTTACAAAAACATTCTGGTTCAAATATAGTTAACCCAAGCAAGTTTGGAAAAAGCCATAAAACAGTAAAGATGATGATAACTACAGTAAATGGTGTACATATACTGCATAGAATGTAGACATATGTAGCCCTATCTGCCTAAAATAATACAGTACACTTTAAATGTGGCTGTCACTCCTTGATCCAATGGCTAAAGCAAGGAAGTGGTGTTGGTCAGCATAAAAATTACATACTGTACTCAAATATTACTATGCAAGTCCTATATGAAAGTACATAGGATGACCTTGAAGTTATCAGTCAAGCCTTAAAACTAAGGTTCAGCATATCAATAGAAAATCCATCGCCACACAAAACGTCCACAAACCAGTTTTCAAAAGTTGCAGTTGTAATGACATCCAAGATTTTGCATTATACCACAGTTGATCATACAAACCAGACCACAAACAGGATATTTTAGCAAAGAATCTTAAAGGCTTTGGGATTTGGGGATTAGTACAGAAGTTATGTCATACTGTATTGTGATGGCATTCTTAAAGTACCAGATAGTACTGCTACATTACATTGCATATTTTATCAATTGTAAAATGAACCAAACTAACACCTACCTAAACACACTAAACCTACTTTACGACACCAAATCTAACCTAAACTATATAGTACTTATGGTAAAGGCTACTTATTACTGATGTTAAGTTGGAAAAGTCTTGTATTCTGATATTAGTCAATAGTTGTAGTTTCCAACCTAACTTAACATCCCGGCTACAATGCCTCCGGTCTACCCTGCCGGAAAATCCCAGCTCGGTTACCACTTCCTAACAATGTTGCCAACACCTTGAGGTTCCTCAGACCTACACAGGCAATGAAATTACCCTACATTGCCCTTATGAAGTTTGCACATAAAATCTTGCTTCTGATTACCCTACATTTTGCCCTCCTTGTAAAATTACCCTACAGCCCTACAAGCCAAGCAAATAAGCTGAATTGCCCTACAGTTAGCAAAATTACTTCCTGTAGTGTACTACTGTTTAGGTGAGGCTCAAGTTAACATAGGTTAGTTTGGTTCACTTTATGAGCAATAACTTGTATAACAATATACAACACTTTGTTCCAGTCTCGTCGGATGTCAACAACAGCACTCCTTATTTTACACCCTTTAAATATAAGATTACCCACATCTTCTATTGATAAAAGTGTAGGAGACGATTAGCACCCGAACGCATTTATTTATTTCGTTCATATTTTCCACAGTTGTTCTTTGGATGATATTAACTAATAAAATCTATGTGACAACTTTTTATTTTAATTATTTTTTCTCTATCTACCATCATAAATCACCTGTAGTGGGCAGGGCATGAAGGATGAGGGAACTGCAGGGTAAAAACAGTGAACTGATCATAGGACAATAAAATCAAATCTCAATGTGTTTTGCACGAGAAGAAATTTAATATTTACCATAAATATTTTGCCGAAAAAGCTGGCTTCCCGACGCGTATTGTCATCCAAGCATACACAAATAAATTTTGTTTCGGGTCTCGTTTAAATTGGCAATAAATGAAGTAACATCTCATCGAGGGTTTTAATTCCTTAAACATGGGCTTGAATGTCTTCTTTTTGTAGCACAAGAGGTTCTTATACCCATTCTATTTATAAATGCTGAGGATCATATTGTTTAAACTGACTCCCATATTACAGGCATGGAGTCATTTCCAACACCTTAAGCATTGCACTGGTTAATAAATGAACTGTATGTTTGTATACTTATTGTTATTTCTCAAGGAGGAAGACTGTCAGGTGTTTGGTATCATCACAAGTTATCTCTGCTTGTGAAGGATGAAGACCATCTCCAATTCATCTGTGAACAATGAGTCGTTGGCAAGATGTGCAAGTGTTCAAAATGCATCAGAGAACCAACAGTGAAGAAGAAATGTGTGTTTAAGTACAACCACCGAGCTTACTTTCATGTCCACAAAAAGTTTAAAATTACACTACGCCGGTTCAAGATACAGTAGTTGCTTTCATTAGTAACCAGATATCAGAGTAAGTTGTTTCTGCCTAATATGTCGGGGAATCTGGAAGTTAGCTAAGGTTAGATTGTTTTCTTTGTTTAGGGGTATATTTTTACTTTCAAACACGGGAATCTTTGGAATTTTATCTTTGACATGACAGCTTCGATAATTCTAAGAAACTTTTCATCTACGACATTTCCCTCACAAATGACCTGACCTAACATAACCACGTGGGACCCAGTGGCATATATACCATAGGTCATTTGCGAGGGAAACATCATAGAAGAAAGGTGTCTTAGAATTGCCAAAACTAACTATATTATGGATAAAATTCCTAAGATTCCCATGTTGTCCAAAGGTAATATAACTGGGTTAGGTTATTTAGTTCAGGTTGGGTTAGGTTATTTAGTTCAGGTTGGGTTAGGTTATTTAGTTCAGGTTGGGTTAGGTTATTTAGTTCAGGTTGGGTTAGGTTATTTAGTTCAGGTTGGGTTAGGTTATTTAGTTCAGGTTGGGTTAGGTTTTGTATATTCTCGTTTCAATTTTCGTGTCCGGTAACAGAGAAACAATACCTCCAGAAATTTTGGCTGACTTCCATAAATTCTATATGGTGATAACCGTCTCCTACACCCTTACCCTTCTATTAATGGCATAATATGTTGAAATCCGGCACAACTCTCTCATATAGTAACAAAATAATTATATTATTGTAAATTTACTCTTAATATTCAGGGGGGACATAATACTTAAAGGGTCACAGAGGTCATTTATGTTATGTAGATAATATGTCAGTTATGAGCATTAATTTCGTATAAAGGTATAATTGTTTCGTATTGTATTTTCACTTAACCTCTAAAACGAAGTACATATTATTATTATTATCCGGAGGCCTTTAGTTATGGACTACCGTAAATTATATTTCCCAAGACGGCCCGTGTCAGTTAATATAACACCAAAATCACTGTCAATTCTATCGAGTGGTATATTAGTGCACACATTATCGACGCTAGATTCTCGCCTTTCTGTTAATGTAAGAGAAATATAAAGATTTTTAAAATATCCCTCACTAACTTGACACGGTCTGTCCACTTCAGTTGACCTTCCCTCACACCATTTACCTTACTACAGACTACACAAAGTAATTGGTTAATCTACAACAATTCGACAGTTTACAGCCGTTGTTATCTAAACCAGGTAATTAATGTTAACTACTGCAGCAAGTAATAGAAGGATGCCTTACCAAATTCAACTAATAGCCCAATGGTGGCCTACACATGTGATGGTCTACTTCAGGGTTATGTACAAAAAAGGATTTAAGTAATTTCATAAGTGTTTTATAGAAATAAATCAAATGACTTCTAGATTTTAAAAACTTAATCTATATATTATCTCTTTCCTTTTTAGTACTCCTATTTTCTTAATACTGCCTAAATAACTAGACAACGGTGAAATTATTCGACCATTTGTAATACGGATCTACGACTCAAGCTGTCGTTGGTCAAAGGTGTTGGAATCTGTTTTAAAGGGTCTGAGAAGAGGATTGGAACCTAATATTATATTATTAAAAACACCAAACTATCATTGATAACAACAAATAAAACACTAATGAGAATTACAATCTTCATAAATGATGAATATTTTTCTTAAAGGTGTCCTAGTTCGAGAAGTTGAGATGTATATGTAAAATTCTAAGCCGAAGAGAAAGCTTCGCGCCATCCCATCCCGTAAGCCATTGTGTGGAATCTAAATATAATGATATTTTTTTATTTTCTATAACGTAATGAAACTTAATGTTGACATCCATTATGGATTATTAATGGCAAAGATATAAGCTCACCAATCCTGGGTGTGACATATCTTTACTATTCAATGTTAGAGATGTATACAAACTCTATAAAATGCATTTATTAATTTCAAATCATAATTGTTATGCAATTTCAAAATTATTATTATATGGGAGCTTTTGTGTAGTAACGCTCTTCAAAAAATATCATTAAAAATTAAAGTAATTGCTTTTTTCTAGAGTTTGTTCTACTCCCAAAAGCGCACGGAGTTGCGAGGTGTTCCAATAATAACTTCATTTCCGAAACCTGTGCAAGTTTATCTCCTCATTTAAGAGATTCTTACAAGTGTTTACAACTTATAACTGGGTGAAGAAGGGCTTTGACAGACCACTGAAATGGACCTTCAAACTCTACAATATCAGATGTGGCTGGCAGTTAAAAAACACCAGGTATGTTGTGTTTTCGACGTAAATAAAACTATACTTGTATAAAGTTCGCTACTCACGTTCACCAGAGTGTATTGATTGTTGAGGACTGTTGTTCTTTGAAGACTTTTATGTAGGGTAGAGTGTATGATATAGTTAAATAAGTATTATAATTAATATTCTAGTTATAAATTAGCCAAAATAATAGTGCAAAGCATTAAATAGAGCATGTTGTGTAAGGGTAAAGTGTGAGTGCGCCAGTAAGCCATGTGTTCGTGTGTGTTCGTGAGACCTACCGTGGGAGATGAACTTGACACCCAAAGAGATTATTTTAAACTGTATGATTAATATAGATCTAACAATATTTAAAATAAAAACTCAATAATGTGTAGGGGGCATTACACGATTAGGTGGTTTAAATTACAATTTATTTGATATAGTAAGAGATATTTTATTCATAAATCCCGTGTAGGAGTTGCAAGTTTGCAAGTTTGAATGATGAAAGGGTGCGTGCGCGAGAAGTCTTGGATTGTGTATTGATTTCGTCAAGATTACCAGATTACTGTTTAATAGGACACTTTGGCTTATATACATATAAGTTGGGTGAATTATATTAGTATATACGTAGTCGTAGCGTTCTTTAGAGTTACGTTAATTGTGTGTAGCTTATAGTTTGACAAGTAGGGTCCCCAAAGCAACTCAAGCATTAAAATGTTATCTCTGTTTACTCTTATCATGCACCATTAAACAGGGTAATTATAAAACACCATTTATACCTTTTTTATACGTGTGAACAATAATATACTTTTTTATTCACATCTATTATTTAAAATGTATCAGGAAACTAAAGACAATGGAGTTTTATTTGATTATAACGAAAAATAAAGTAAATTGATTTAGCATTAGATACTGTATAACTATTAAGTGTATTTTGTTAACAATGGCAATAATTCACCAAGGTTGATGACACACCGGGGAAAGCATTTCATTCCTTTACAAATTATGCTTGCAGAGTTTGAGGAATAATTTATTTTTGCCTCTTTAAATACGTTAGATTAATATTTCTGCTTTACCATTAATACATGAGCGTCATCTAAATAGTGGTGCAAAGGTAGGTAGAGACACTCATTCCTCAACACTTGGAGTGAGGAATATATGCAGCATACTGTGGCGGTATACTGTGGTGTGGCGGCCCGTGCGATGGCGGGCTAGCCCGGTCGCCAGATGCTTCCATTCACGTACCACAGTATCATTTACCTTTGGTTAATAACCCATCTTTATATTGTGTTTATTTATTCATCCTGATAACAAATTAGTTATATTTATTTTAAAATACTACATGATTGTAAAATATTAGGATAAAAGGTCTTGTTTAACAAAGGTCACAATAACGAGGTTGTTGGATGAAGGCTGGTCGACTCTGCCTCCGTACCATTCTGCAACCTACAAATATTTTCTGATTATTGACAAGTGTGTAGCAAACGGTATCATTTTCAAGGGTTAGAATTAGTTTAGATCATTGGAATTATTTAAAGTTGTGTAGTGGGTAGAATATGCTTAAATTTTGTTCATACTTTTTTTTTAAATGTCATATTCTACAAATAGTTTCCTACTAATCTTGCAACAGGATAGAAATTTGCCATCCTTTTACCTCTTAGTTGCAATAGCCACGTTGTTGTAATCATTGGTCATTTAATTGATTAGTGATTTTGTTTTTAGTTTTTAGGGTAAAGATTAACTGTGTTTCATGAAAATCGCAATTTTATTCTTTAATTCTGTACACCCCAGGGCAACAAATTTTGTGCAAGACCATGCGGTCAAGCGGAACTTGAATTTGGACGAGGCAAAAACCGTGGGTGTTAGCGCCCGCTAAATGTGGGCGTCGTACTAGAGGTATAACCTGATTATCGAGTGTCAGCCAGTAGTGACGTAGTTAATGATTAGTAGATGGTGTCTGACGGGATTATCGAGACAATGGTATTAATTGTGAGACTAAGGCAGAGTTAGGAGAAGAAGTTCGGAATAAGGTCTGTATCCTAAACTAATGCTGGCAGCAGGAACGTTAGGCTATACGTATCAACCGACCGCAAGTCCACGTCGACAGTACTTCTGCGGGAAGAAAGAGATGTTAGTAATGGTTCCTATGAGTAGAACGTGTACTATAGCGTGCGGTCTACAAGATATTTAGGTTAAGTTAGATTAGGTTAGGTCAGGTCAGGTAAAGATATTTTTGCAGACCGCATGTTATACTGTAGTAGCACTACGTATCCTTTTTCGGTAGCAGAGGCGGGATGTTAATATTAAGGATTGTTCAGCAATCTTTCAGGGTTTTTTCTACTCACCCAGTGTATGTTCTTGTAGAAAATCCGATCAAACTGACCTGCTTTTGTCGGAATTACTTCTCCGAGTTACAGTACATGTAAACATGAAATAAGTCAACGATTCTCTGATCTGGAGGTCGTCTGACGAACTTTTTAAATTAATAAAAGATAGGGGGGATGTTAGATTATTAACATATCTATAAAACATATAGTTCATCATATAACATAAGGAACACCGTGGCTAATCGTACGGATAAATCTTTTCAGATCTCAATAGGTTAGGTTAAGTTTCTCGAGAATCACTCATTTCTCGGCCATCGTGAGAGAAATCGTGACGATTTTTTGTCCGCATGATTACCTCGACCTATAAAGAACAGTACAAGTCACCGCTTACGCTACAGGTTAGTACTGTAGTGACGAGTGAGAGAACAACTTAAGGGAAATAAAGCAACAAAACAGTAGGATGAGTCTACAGGACAGCCCGTAGACACCCACAGTACTGCTTGACGCCTAACGACAAAGGCTTTTATGTAGATATCTATAGACACCAGAAATGCTCATCTTCCGGTGTTGTTGCTCGCGCTTTCGCACGACGGTCGATATGCAGCTGACCACAGGACAATATTACGAAGTTAACAACGTTAGGTGTTAACATGTCCTGCACTGTATTATTTGACAATGAAGGGCTTTTCTTTGATCTAGAGTTCGAGTATGTGTAAAGTCTGATATTTGTCACTTCAGGGGCAGGATAATACCTATAACTTTTAATCAGTGCTCTTACTCGAAGTTCCGACATATTAGTATCATGCTTAACTTAACCAAACCATGGAAAGGCAAATTATTTTAAATTTCCAATAACATAATTTTTATCGAAATCGAGATTGCAAAACAATAAAAAAAAGATGAGTAATCTTGACTAGATTCAGCGTGCGTGTTTACTTTTTCATTGTTTTATTGACAAGTGGCTCGCCATTTCTTAATGTAACTGGACATGAATGTTTTTACAGTTGCGTTTAGCCAGATGACGGCAGCGAGCATTTGTTGGCTGATGGGGAGGTGGGAGAAAGCGTTGAACATCTTTAGAGATGATGAGCTGTTACTGATCAGGAAGTGCCGTCCGTCGGTAGGTGTGGCCGTGGGGATGCGCCTTTATGGACACCCACAGTGTCGATGCAGGAGGCCCAGTTGTGGACTCGGATCTTCCGGGTATTCTCCCTGCGTGTTTGGTGCTCGGGATCCACACTTGTCCCGGCCTTTCCCAGTGTTAACAATACCCATGTAGTTGACAAGATTCAGATTTGTCCCATGTAGGGGGGGGGGGTTATAAATTATTGGGACAGCCCATTGTATCGTGAGAAAGGGGAAGCACATGTCCTCCCCTTATTTTCTGTGGTGGTATAAATGGTACGTCTAGTACAATGGTTCTCAACCTGGGGGCCATGGCCCCCAAGGGAGCCACGGCAAGAATTTAGGGGAGCCACGGCGAGCTGTTATAAATTGTACGTTTCCAAATAACGTTGGGAATCTGAATTAAACAAAACTTGTATTACTTATTTTGACTTGACAGAAGAGAATTTTCATTCTTTTTTGTCATTTTGTTTAATCATAACGACAATACAATTTTAATATTTGCATACTCTGATGCTAATTTATTTTTTATTTTTTTACGAATTATTTAAGATTTCACAGGTCCAGTCCCTGTCTGTGTGACAGGCGCTGGACCGAGCTGCTGAACTGACTTGATCAGTACGTGTCCGTGTGTCATCCCTTTGCAAGTGGTGATAGGACCGAATGATCTCAATCTGGCCTGGGATACCATCACGAAAACAGTGGAGTGTATTGTCTCTGAGCCATATATTGTGTTTGAGCTTGACTCAAGCATAATATGCACCGTAATTGGTGTTACTTATTTTGTTTCGTAATTCATGTGGTCGCTGCTTTACGTGGGTGAAATATTTGTACACTTCCTTTATTAATTTTTTCCTTATTTATTGGTGCCATTGTTGTTCATACTCATTCTTTACTTATATAATCCTACCATTTTTACTGCTAAATTGGTATGACTCACTATTCTCATTTTTCCAAGTTGGGCAGTGCTTGTCAAAGGAGGCGTGTTCTTGCTTACAGGAAGTACACTTCAGCTTGCTCGCTTGAGTGTGAATGTGTTTTTTTTTACGGGGGTTAGCCCACCCGGGCACAGGTCACTGACCCACATCAGGGCCTGGGGGGCGAAAATGTAATAATAATAATACTAATAATAATAATAATAATAATAATAATACAGTAATAATAAAGAACCATAAAGAAATACAAAAATGAAAAAAAAGATCAAAAGTGAGAAACAATACTGTATATGTATGTTGTGTTGTTAATAGTAAGTGAAACAATTGAGACCCTGCAATTGTGTGTAATTGAGGCAGAAAGTCAGATCAGCAACCTGAGACTTGGTCACAATTTTTGTGATGCCATACAGCAGCAGGGTCTACCATAGACAACACATTATGCTTCCAATATCTTCCCGGGCGGTAGTACCTCCCTGTTTGGTAGCTGCCTAATAATGTGAGTGTGCATGGGCGTGTATGTATGTGAATGTGTGTGTGTGTGTTTGCCATTCTAACTCTTGTCCTATTTATCTGTCCTTCTTTATCATTCTTTAGTCTTTATCACTTGTCTGTTTGTTCTGGGAGAAAAATGAAGGCGGCC